AAATACTGTTGATGGCATTTAGGTAGTTTTCAGTTTAGTGCTGTTGTGAACACTCTTGTATATTTTTTTGTGAATAAATATGTATTTCTATTGGAAAAGTATTTAGGAATAGAAATGCTGTGTTGTAGGGTGTGCATATTTCAAGTGATTCATAGACTTTGCAAGATATGACTCAACTCATATTGTATCTGAAACTTATAATGTAGTTCTTCCGCCATTCAGAAAATACTACTGGAGTTCATTCCCTTATTTTTTTTCCTCTAAAGCATTTGTCTATCCCCCTTTTCTTAAACCTCAAAGCCCACTGAAAATGATTTCCAAATATTTCATATGTTTTAATAGATTCTAAATATTTGGTAACCCTTCTAATTTTGATTTTATTTGAGTTCTGTATTAGAGGGCTCCTTATTAGAGAAGAACGGAAGAGGCTAAATTACTTATTCATGCAACTATATTAACCTTTCAAATACTTAGAAAATACATATAAAATAAGTAAACCTGATAAACAAGAGGACAGCATAGCTTAATGGTTAAGATCATGAACTACGGAGCTAGTCTGCCTACATTCAAATACCAGCTCTAGCAGCTATCTTGCAAGCATAAGGCATCAAGCATGGAAAGCCACTTGATAAGAAAGGCAGGTGGAAAGAGAGGAGACTGGGATATCGGTGCATTGTGGAGCCACTGAACCAGTCCTGGACTGCTGCCTCTTCGTATGTGAGAGTAAAGCTCAGGATGAGGTCAAGTCACTGAAGTCAGGTTTCTGTGCTGCCAAACTGAATCCTAACTGATACACACTTCCACACTCCCTTGAATTCTTTTTAAAGCTTTGGTTCACAGTATTATGGAGGCAAGGAAAAGAGAATTATCATGATTATAAGTGTTCCTATGGCATATAGGGAAAATGTTTAATTTTTTTCCACTATCAAAGCCTTGTATGTGTTAACTGAACCACAGCCTCTTTAAAGTACATTATGTTGTGTGTATAAAGAGAGGAGCCTAGATAATATTGTTAAAAAGTTAGGAAAACATTTTAGGCTGATGTATAATATTTTTATCAACTCTACATTAACTATCATTAATTCCACTTAGAGTGATTCCCACAAAACACATACCCACATATGAGGCATCCCTTCAATCTAACATAATCTAACACACCTGCTCATCCATCATTACCTTAGTTTACCACCACTATCCTCCTCTATTTTTATTTATTGTTCTTTCTCTAATGCAAGCTAAAGGTGAGGTTGCCATGACTGTGGGTTTTGCTATTCTATAACCCTATTGGAGGGGCAGTGTGACAAAGTGGTTAAAAGCACAGGCTCTGGAACCAAACTTCTGGGTCCTAATCTAGATACTGCCACTAACTGGCTATAGTTAACTTCTTTGAGCTTCAGTTTCCTCATTTATAAAATGGAGATGGTGATGATGATGATCACCTACTCCCTAGGGTAGTTATGAGGATTAAATGAGTAAATAAAGTACTTAAAAATGTCTGGCTCACAGAAAGCTGTTTAATTATCAGTTATTATTGTTGGAGTCACAAAACAATATTGATTGCTATCTGGGTATTAGCATCAAGACTGGTCCTTAAGCCATCCTTATTTTCCCGTTGGGTAATTATTTTCCTCTTGGCTAATGGGGTGCGATAGAGAAGCAAAGCCGAGGAAGCTTGGAAACCATATTTAGTGCCCTGGGCCTTTGCCTAGGCTAAAGTTGGTTCCGTTTGGCCACATTTCTTTGTGGATAATAAATATATTTAATTGAGGTATTTTAAAATAGTTTTATCTTATTGAATGAATATTACTTGTGTTGAATAGGAAACTTAGACAACTTACTTTGATTTTAAGGTTTTTCTTATTCATGAAACCAAATATTAACCATAAAAAGCCTAACCCAAACTGCAAAACCCTGCCAGAAACTCCTCTACAGCAAGTAAATTTATCTTATCCTGCTAGAAAAGGATAGTTGTCAAACTGTTACCTCCTCATTTAAATCTCAAAAAGTCTCATGGCTGCAGGTGGGTACCAAAACCAAAAAACTTGTTGCGTCAAGTCGATTCCAACTCATAGCGACCCTATAGGACTGAGTAGAACTACCCCATACGGTTTCCAAGGAGCGCCTCGTGGATTTGGTTAGCAGCCATAGCACTTAACCACTACACTATCAGGGTTTCTGCAGGTGGGTTGAGGGCCAAATTATTTGTGCCAGAAGTAACCTGTATCAGTTGATCTCAGTAAAGGGGGAAGGCAGGGCTCATTCAGTCATGTTAAGATTAGCCAGTGTTTGATCTTCTGTGTTTCTCCTTCCTCTACTCTTTATAAGCCTCATTATACCTAGCTTCTTCACGCCATTTGCTTTTTCTGGAATGGAAATGGTCTCCCTATATGCATATGCATGTGGGGCCTAGTGGTGCAGTGGTTAATCATTCAGCTACTCACCAAAAGGCTGGCAGTTCTAATCTGCCAGTCACTCCTTGGAAACCCTATAGGGCACAGTTCTACTCTGTCCTGTAAGGTTGCTATGAGTTGGAATTGATTCGACGGCCAACAGGTTTGGTTTTTTGGTATATGCATATACAATAACTTCTCAGAATAAATCTTATGTTGAAATTCCAGTGAGTTTTGATTATAACACTTGTATAATAGGATTGTGGTTTAAAAGTAGCTAATGTAGGTTGGACAACCAAATGATAACTCAATGGTTATTCAATTATGGCTGTACATAATGCATACTCAAGGTATTAAAGTTATGACTATGCTATGTTTAAAAACTTGTCAGATTGTTTGATATGTATTTTTTATGAATAAATTCTACTCAGAAAAGGTGTACTGTCACTTTTTGAGATAGTGAAAATATTCTTCTTGAAATTAGGAAGTAGAAGTAGCATAATTAAGAAAATAGTTTTCTTTAAAGTTACACATCTTTAGAAATCTATAATACATGATAAAGAGAACAATTCAAATGAGACATAGATTGAGTAAATTTTGTGGAAGAGGCCCTTGCTTAGTGGTAACTGGAGAGACAGGGTCGTTCAAAGAAGCTGTCGTTCAAAGAGCTGTCTCTGTGGAAGTAGCAGGAATAGCTTCAGAGAAAGAAAATGCTGGGTAATAAGTCTGGCAAGACCTGACCTACTTATCTCTGATTCTGTATTAGAAACTCAGCAGCAAAGCTGCAGAGGACTGGGGAGTGTAGTAATCCATCTGAGAATTCCTTTATTCCAGAAACTTTCTGATCAGTAAGGCATTGAGCAAAACAGTAGGGAGACTAAAATCTCACACAATAATAGATCCTAAAACAAAGGAAGGGAAAGAATGTCAGTTCCTTAAGGGCACAGGCAGAGGTGTATTTTTCCATCTTCTGCAGCACTTAGCATTTTATCTATTGCCATGTCTTCACTAATTATTTGTTGAATATAAATATGAAATAGACTTGCTCTTTGAGGTAAATCACCTAGAGGCACTGGAGTGTGGGTTTACAGTATCACAGATTCTGAATCACAGAACAAAAAGAATCCATAAGGTTTCCTTGTTCACATATTTGAGGGGGGTGAGGGAAGGGCAGGGGTGGAAAGCAGTATGAGCATGGAAGTTGAAAAGCCAGAGTATGTTCAGGAAGTGAGGAGCGGCCCAGGCTGACTGCAGCAAAGGTGCGGGAAATTATCCAATAAGCAAGGTAAGCACGGGATTACTTGTGCTTACTTACTAATCTATAGTGAACAATTTCACCACATCAATATTCTTAATTTTTCCTTTTATTAAAATAAACAGTTCCTCACATAATGAAGCCTCTCTCCTTTCTTGCCTAGAGACAGGAATGACAGAGTGTGGATTGAGTCAGACTGACTGTTTTAATCTCAGCTCTGCCACTTACTTGATGTATAATCTTGGGGTTAACTTCTCTCTGTCCCAGTATCCTCATCTATAAAAAGAGGAATAATAACGGATAATACCTCACTTATTCTGAGGGTTAAGTGCAGTAACACATGCAAAAATACTTGGTTTCTAGTTCATAATAAGCACTGAATAATTACTATCAAATATTATTTTTTATAAAATAAAAGAGCATCTAAACATCTCAATGGACGGGCTAATAGTAAAAGTCAAGACAGCAATGTTCGATGGTGGATGCAAGGAAGAGCTGTATTTTTCTCCAGAGTTATAAAACCTCTGACTAAAGGAAGAGTGAATGTCTTGGCTAATGCCCTGTCACTAGAAAAGAAAAGGGTCTCTTTACTAGTATCCGAGAGAGCAGGCCCTACTGCCTACAAAACTGCATTAGAGAGGCCCTCTATCAGGGTAGAAAATAAAGGGGCTGTTCCTCTGATGAATCCTCTCAAGGAAAGGATCTCAGAGAGGAGAATCAGTTCCTTTACTTTAACATGCGTTCTGGCCTCCCTGTGGCCAAGAGAACAAGAGAGGAAGTGATGAGTGTTTATAGGGATGGTTGCAACAGAAGTACTTCCATTCAAACAGCAGGTCTAAGCCTCCACAAGCAGATGATATACTGACACATTTGAGCTCTTGAGATTTTTGTTTCTTATACCTTTGTCTCTTCTTCTCTCCCTTCCACCTAAACACATATATATGCTCCACAGCTGATCCCTCCTAGCCGGGAAAACAGGAAACGAATATAAAATAATTCACTTATTTAATGTATTTATATATTTTAAATATAAGGATGTAAGGATATATTTATATCCTTAGATATATTAAGTATTAATATATTTAATAATATAATAAATGTATGAAATATTAATATATTAATCACTAACACCATTATTTTCTTAGTGGCCACAAAAGTGGAATGAATACAGGCTTTTTTGGGGACTAGAAGTATTTGGTTTCTCGGGTTCCAAAGTAGAAACATTTCATGAGTATTCAAAATCAGTTAATTAAAAAAAAAAAAAAAAATTTGTTTTAATTTTTAAAGAAAGCAACTAAAATAAGGGCTATCCTGATATAAAACAGAAAAACCACACTAACCACAACACTGTTATTTTAAAAGATGAGAATTTAGTTTATACACATTTTATGTTACGATATAAGTTAATGACTTATATGATGCAGGTTTATCACAAAATGTTACTGCCCAGTGCATTTTGCAAACAATAAATAATTCACTGAGAGTATTAACATTCACATATGTAATTAGAGTTTACAAATGTACAAAACTTGGGGTAACAAACCCTTTAAACTTATTTTTCAAACATTCAATAAGCCCATTCCCGCAAAACTGTTTGATTACAAACAAACACAATGGGTTACTATATGACAAAACATAAGAAGCAAGGGAGGGGAGGCAAATACAGACTTGAGAACGTAAGAATATATAAGCAATTGTGTCAATATCAAAACATAAAATCAAAATAAATTTTTATAAAGGAAAACAAATCCTCAGAATTAAATACTAGTTAGGTGAAAGAACATTTATAAGGTATATAACATTTATTTTCTCTACATAAATTTGCATATCTTAAATTTAATGCAAAATACCATGTTTCAATTTAAGAATATCATAATATGTAGTTCTTGGTAAGTCTAAATGTAATGGAATGAATATTTAAATAGTTTCCAAAGATTGTATCAAGTTTTTATTTGGTCATTATTCTTTTCACTCTTTAATGCTTTTCTTTACTTATTGCACTAAGCCAATTTTAAAAGTAAAAACTACAACTAGAGTACTATAATGCAGCTGTTTCTGAAAATACTACACAGTATATAGTCTTTAGTATATCATTAAAATAGTGGTTGTGGGTAAATAAACAAGGAAACAAACAAACAAAAATTACTGCAACTCACGTATGATAAAAAAGTTATGAAGCAGAACTTTAGAAGTTCTATCTGGTTGTGTTTTCACTTTAATAAAAGAAATTTGGATAATGAGAATAAAATGTGCTTGACTATGAATAAATGAAATTCCCAGTTAACACTGGGTTACATTTTAGAGCAGTGCACTTGTCCTCATATTTTGTATCAGGAACATATGTTCACAATCCACCAGCTGTAGTTTTGATTTACTTAGAAAATGAAAGTATTTAATCCTGGCTGTTTACACCTTCCTCCCTTGTTTTAACATCTTCACTTTGAGATCAGGCACTTTGTGCCCAGGAACGCAGCACTGCAAATTTAGTAGAAATGTATCCACTGACAGCAGGACAACTGAATCAGATTCAAAAAGGAGGAGGATATCTTCATTTAGGAAACAAAGCACTAAATTATAATTTTACAGTCACAACACAAGCCCCAGCTCTTCCTAGGCACAGCGGAGCAACCTGAAACAAAGAGAGACAGATGTTGGATTTGTAGGTAAAAAAATGTCGATCATACCACACCAGCTGGTGAAATCCTGAAATGGTTCTGTACTTGCTGACAGAGAGTTGCTGCCCCGGACCCACTGCACCAGCCCCAGTGGTCTGGTTCCTCCTTCACTTACAGGATAAATTATGAAACTATAAACTATAAAAACTATAAGATAGGTTTTAAAGGACTACTTTGAGCAAATTAAGAATCTCTGCATTCGACCTAAGAGAATTTAAATGTTAGCACTGGGTGGAGGGTGACAAACGCAAAGTACTAAGAAAGTCTGCTTTGTACTTACCTACGTGGTGGTATGTAATAAAGTGTTTTTGTCAAATACATGACACCAAAATAACTTCCTAATAACTTCCAAAATAACCTCCTAATCAGTATGACCCCTCAGACAATGAGTAGATTTTTAGAACAGATCTAGACTTCAACTGTAAGAGAATTCTCAGTTGTTCACTCGAGTCAGTTGTTTTGATCACTGTTGTATCTTCTTGAACAACCAATCAATTTTAAAACCATATCTATTTATAGTATTCCAGGAGTAACCTCTAAATAATTTAAGTCAAAATGCCTATTTGCATTTAAGCAGCTTTTCTCAAAATACATAAGATACTAGGTCCCTAAGATTGTGAATACTTGAGGTTGTCATGACAACCAGCTAGAAAGTTTAGCTCAGAGAATTTATTAAATACAATGTCGTAGTCACCTCCTGGTTTAGGTCAAGGCTGGTAGTGTGTGGATGGTGGTTTAAGACTTTGTAATTAATCTCATTTTAGTCCCTGTGCAAATGTCCTCTTGTCCATTTGCCAAAACACTGATTGGAAAACGTTTACTTTTCAGATACTATGGTTATAAGTTCACATTTATCTGTATTGGTGGCATGAAAACACAAGAGCCATGTAGTCTAGATTTTTAATTTTGATAGAGTGATTCAGCATAAAATATTAATTATCTGTAACGTTGCCCACCATGTGTCTGTCTAGGATACTGATCTTAATGCGTTCCATTTCATGTTTGACGACTCCCCATTTTCCTAGATTCATACTTCGTACATTCCACGTTCCAATTATTAATGGATGTTTGCAGCTGTTTCTTATTTTGAGTCGTGCCACATCAGCAAATGAAGGTCCAGAAAGCTTGACTCTATCCATGTCATTAAGGTCGACTCTACTTTGAGGAGGCAACTGTTCCCCAGTCGTCTTTTGACTGCCTTCCAACCTGAGGGGCTCATCTTCAGGCACTGTATCAGGCAATGTTCTGCTGCTATTCATAAGGTTTTCACTGGTCAATTTTTTCAGAAGTAGACCAGCAGGTCCTTTTTCCTAGTTTGGAAACTCCACTGAAACCTGACCACCTGCTAGTATTTGAAATACCGGTGGCAGAGCTTCCAGCATCACAGCAACACGCAAGCCACCACAGTACAACAAACTGTTCAGCTCTTCTGTCTACTTTTAATGCTTCCTGCATCGTTCAATATTTTGCCCATAGAATCCTTCAAAATTACAACTCAAGGCTTGAATTTTTTCTTCAGTTCTTTCAGCTTGAGAAATGCTGAGCGTGTTCTTCCCTTTTGGTTTTCTATCCCCAGGTCTTTGCACATTTCATTAAAATATTTGCTCTGTCTTCTAAAGCTGCCCTTTGAAATCTTCTGTTTAGCTCTTTTACTTCATCATTTCTTCCATTATCTATAATAACAAGTCTCAAATACTGGCCAATAGATTTACTTATAACTGGCCTAAGGGCTTATGTCAAATGTATCTCAGAAAAAGATTCTTCTCTTTTTAGGCTCTGGGTTGCCATTCACAACTGCTTCTGACATAGTGGGAGGCTGATGGTAGGTAATCACATAATTTCTAATGAAATCTCTTAGCATTTATTCCAAAATGCTCTAATTCAAACTCTCAATCTTATCCCTTTTCCCTCTACCAACTGATCTCACTTATTTAAGAAACAAATCAAGGTCACACAGTTTAAGTCCCTTTTTCTACCCTTCTCTTCGCTTACAAACTCCCTGTACCTGTCTCCACACCCCCTCTCATCTTTTCCTCCAGACTAAGGATGATAAAATCTTTCCTCCAGACTAAGGATGACCAGTCTTTGTTCTCATTTCTGTTTCCTGCCCTTGTCCCAGGAAGGTGTCTTTCAGTTTTCCTTTCTCAGCAAAACTGGAATCTCTCCCTACCCTCTTGTCATTCCTACTGTTTAAAAAAAAAAAAAAAAAATCCTTTGCTCAAACGCTAACTCCACCATTTATCTGCTAAGTGACCTCCAGCCAGTTATTTACCTGTATCTCAGATTCCTTATCCTGTATAGTGGGAAAATAATAGTACTTACTTAATAGGGCTGTTGGGAGGATACTTGACGCCAACGGGTTAATGTAAAATGCTTAGAACACAGCTTGTTACATAACGTGTTCAATAAATGTTAACTTTCGATCATCATCTTAAAATTGTATGCCCCTGTAGTTCCTACCCTTTGTTTTATTCTTCCCTTTACTTTTTAAACTCTGTGCAGTGGCTTCTGCTTCTGTCATATTCTCAGAAGTCCCTACAAGTTCATGAATGACTAAGCATCTTCATTCTTCCTTATATGGCTGAAACCTCCTCTCCTCCATTTAAATGCTCTATCTATTCTCTTATATTATAAGGAGCTCTCTGATCACGCCTTTGCTGTTTTCTTCAGAAGCTGCACCTTCTAATAGACCAGTTAGTGTAAGCACATAAATAAAGCATTGACAGGACTTGGTAGTATCTCTTGCATTCATCCTTTCCTTCCTTCCCCTACTATTTTAAGTATGTAACACCTCAAGCCTCAACTGAAGCAATCTTCTAAATGCTTTCCTTTTCTCCAGGATTCACCACTGCCTGCCCCTACCCCAATTTACTCTTTTCTCAACTGCTGCCTAGCTGAACTTTCTATTATCCATCCTTCTCTTGGTTTAAAATCTCTGCTGGCTTCTCATTACCACTCTTAAGCTTGGCCTTCACAGACCTCCATCCTCACTCCAAACCCCCGGCTCCCCTAAGAACAGAAGAACTTCTACTCTTTTCAAGCATGAATCCTTATAACCAGTCATAGTTACTAAATACATCTTGCGTATCTCCCCTTCAGTGACATTTATTTAAGTTCCCTCACAAAATTCCCCCCTTTTACCACATATTTGAATTGGATTAATTCATTAAATCCCACTCTTTTCCACTGAAGTCCTCCCAACAACCAACTTCTTTTTTCTCTTTGACTTTCTTCTCCACTCACTGCTTATGCCATTGGACACTTAATACCAACCACCTATATTGTGGATTCACCCCTTGCACATGTAGATCTTACCTATGTAAGTAGAAGTTAAGTTCTATTACAGCAGGGATTCTTGTAAGTTGTGTTTTCTTGACAATACTTAGTATTGCTCCTTGTATGTAGGAGAACCTTGGCTCGCTTAAACATTTATTGACTGCCTTTTATCTACTAGATTCTGAATTGGGTGTTATAGGCACAAAATTATTGATTCTGTTCTTGGTGATGATGGAAGCCAAGATCTCAAAACATCATTCTTAGAAGTGCTAGACCCTCTGAGAAATAGAATAAGTTAGAATTATTTTTGCTAATAAGCTTGCCAGGTCAAGTTTTTTACTTGTTAATATAATTTACGATTGCCATCTTTATTAGGTTATGACCAGAAATTTGACCTGGCTCCCAAATAGCAGTAGCTTGAGTATTTAAAAGTTATGGCTTATGTATGGGGAAGTGGCTCCAAATTTTCTGACTACTATGCTTGTTTCCTCTTTTCTACAATCTCTCCTTCCTTTATTATAGTCCTCTTGTGGTCCTATAAACTCTATCAATGCTAGAATATCTCATCAATTCCCAGCAAGCAAATGGTGGTAGATCAACTAATAATGTCTCTGAGTATTAACTTATACTTCAAAGGTGATCTTAGATTTTAATTATGTTATAAATTGTGAAATTCCCTCGTTTCTTCATATTTAATCAAGAGATCACGTTCTCATGTTTATATTTCCATCTGAGACAAAATCGAATCTGTTTTACCAAAATAATTGTTTAAGCAAAAACTGCGTGTCAAAATGAAAAGTGAAAATTCCATACCTGGGTCCACTCATTTGTCTGAGGATCATAAGCCTCCACTGTATTCAGATATGTCTGTCCATCATACCCTCCGACAGCATATAGTTTATCACCAAGTAAACAGACCCCCACTGCATCTCTGCTGATGCTCATAGATGCCACAGCAGTCCACATATCTGTTTTGGGATCATATCTGAAAGAAAATTTTAGAGATCGAGCTGGCATTGTTCTCAAAGTACTTTATGTAAAAATAATTTTATTCTTCAAGTCCATCTTCTGTTTTATTATCTACTAGATAAGAGTATATATGAACATATTTTAGAGAAAAATATCAATATTTTCCAGAAAACTTTTAACTTACACTATTATAGATTCATTTAGCAGATGCGCAGCACTTAAACTATTTAAAGGAGCTCCTGTAAATACGGAAAACTACTTTAAGGCTTTAGACCATGTTATGGATAGAATCGTGTCCTCCCAAAAGATATGTTGAAGTCCTAACCCTGTACCAGTGAATATGACCTTGTTTGGGGAAATAGTGTTTTTCTTTGCAGATGTTATCTGTTAACGAAGTCATACTGAAGTAGGGTGGGTCCTAAGCCTCATCCCTTTTGAGTGGTGTCTTATAAAAGGACAGACATGGAAACAGTTATACACACAGTGGGGAGAAAGCACATGAAGATCTGTCTACAAGCAAAGGAACGTCAAGGATAGCCAGCAGCTCCAGAAACCAGGAGACAGGCATAGAACAGTTCCTCTCTCAAATCCCTGAGAAAGAATCAACATGGCTGAGGCCCTGATTCGGACTTCTGGCTTTCAAAACTGTGAAAAAAAATATTTGTGTTCTTTAAAGCCATCTATTTGTGGTATTTGTGGTATTTTGTTAGGGCAGCTCTAGGAAACTAAGACAGAATGCCTACTTAAAATCTGAAGAAATCAAAACATGAAACTCTATGTATGATAACATACAGCCTGACTCACTGTAGCATCCCATCTCTGGACCTTCTGGTTCCTTTCATGAGGTATGGAAATTAGAACTGCCTGAAGTTGTCTATCCGGGAACAGATGCTAAGATGATCTACATTGCTTCTAATACCTCTTGTATCAATGAACAACTTTTCATTTGATGCAGTACTAGAGTGAGCCTGTAATTTATAATATATAACAAGCAGAGTCTGAATTATTTTCTCCCCAGTAGAGGTGAAGTGCTGGTGTAACTTTCCTGCTTTCTCAAAAAAACAACAACCAAGTTTGCTTATTATTTCACATAAAGAGCTCACAGTCATCAGCAAAGCTTGATTTCACTATTCATCCTTCTTCTAGTCACTTATAATTTATAAACTGTCACAAAAGCCTGATCATGTCAACACACACACACTCACTCACTCACTAACTTCCCGCTGCTCTTTGAAATCCAAAATCCTTAATAAAGCCTCAAGAACCTACTTGATCTGCTTTCACCCCCACCCTACCCTGCCTCTTCCCTGCCACTCTCCCCCATCCTGTTTGTTCTCTAGCCACAGCGGCCTCCTTCTTTCAGCTTCCTGAAAGAACCATATCCCTTTCTGCTTCAGAGCCTTTATACAGGCTATGCTTTTTCTCAGAAATGTTCTTTGTTTGCCAACTTCTACTTATCTTTCAAGTTTTACTTTTAAATGCCACCTCCTTCAGGAAGCACTCCTTGAGCCCCCAGGGCTCTCAAAATAGTCTATTTTTCTCCTTCATGCCACTTACTAGAATTATATATTAATTTTTTGTCTCTACGGATAAGATTATAATCTTCATAAGAACAGGGACAGCGTCTTTCCTGCTCCTCACATATTCCAGCGGCTGGCACTTAATATATATATAAAAGAAATACCTGTTGAAAAAATGATGGTCTCAACACAATTCTGGGGCATCTGAACCGTTTGTATGTAATAATACTCTTTATTAATACTAGTAATTAAAGGAAAAAAATTAAACTTTTATCCTGTATGTTAGAATAACTGTATGTTGAATGCTATATGTTAGAATAGTAAACTGTATGTTAGAATACAAAGACCGCAAGTTGACAGGGAAATCAAAAACCAAACCAAACCCATTGCTATCGAGTTGATTCTGACTCTTAGCAACCCTACAGGACAGAGTAGAACCGCCCCATAGCATTTCCAAGGGGCATCTGGTGGATTCAAACTGCTGACCTTTCGGTTAGCAGCTGAACCACTGTGCCACTAGGGCTGCTTGATAAGGAAAGCTCTACTTTGTAAAACAATTCATGGTAGTGAATGTAGAAAGAATGATAGAATTAGAGAAACACAATTTTTCAAACCCTAATGAAATTATTGATCCAGGTAAGGATTATCAATTGGCAATAAAACGACTGGGTGAAATGAGTGACAGAGAATTAGATATTCATATAGTGCCAAAGTAACAACACACAGACTGCTTTCTACTTATAAAATGAAAACGTCAAAATCATGCATTTAAAGTTTTATACTGTCATCACCCCAAATCAGTGTTCAATCTTTGCATTGCTAAAGGTGGACAAACCAAATATTGTAACTTCTGATGTGAGGAACATGAAGTATACAATATCAACTGTAACATATGCTGGCCAAAAATTTAATTTTAACCCATCAAGCATTTAGATATAACTTCCAGTTTCACAGAAATACAGTGCCTAAACGAATGCTAATCATGACAAAGAAGGAACCAGACAAATGCAGGAACTAGGACATTTGGCAAGACAACTGGCCCAGTCTCCTGAACAGTCTATATGATAAAAAATGGTCTGAGTTAGATGAAAAGGCTGCTTTGAGGGACTGCCATGGATTGAACTGTGTCCTCCAAAAATATGTGTCAACTTGGTTAGGCCATGATTCCCAGTACTGTGTGGTTGTCCTCCATTTTGTGATTGTAATATTATGTTAAAGAGGATTAGGTTGGGATTGTAACGCCCTTACTAAGGTCACATCCCTGATCCAATGTAAAGGGCATTTCCTTGGAGTGTGGCCTACACCACCTTTTATCTTACAAGAGATAAAAGGAAAGGGAAGCAAGCAGAGAGTGGGAGCCTCATACCACCAAGAAAGAAGCAGCAGGAGCAGAGCGTGTCCTTTGGACTGGGGGTTCCTGGACGGAGAAGCTCCTAGTCCAGGGGGACTGATGAGAAGGACCTTTCTCCAGAGCCGACAGAAAGCGAAAGCCTTTCCCTGGAGCTGACGCCCTGGATTTGGACTTCTAGCCTACCAGACTGTGAGAAAATAAATTTCTCTTTGTTAAAGCCATCCACTTGTGGTATTTCTGTTATAGCAGCACTAGGTAACTAAAACAGGGACACAGCAATCACATGCAACATGTGGTCTGGATTAAATAGTGGTTTGAATAAATTAACTATAGAGGTCATCTGGAGTCAACTGGGGAAATCTGAATGTGTTCTATGCATTAGATGAGTTTTCCTTCTATTCCTGCAGTTGCTACATCTCTTTTTCCTATTTTGTATACTACATGTCTAAATGTTAACGTTTTCCATACCCGTCCTTTTTCTCTCTACTCACTCACTACACTGAGACTGGTATGTACTTATGACTCTTAAATGCACATCTTCAGCCCAAACCTTTGCTCTGAGTTCCAGACTCGTAGATCCAACTACCTAGCTGACATCTCCACTTAGATGTCTAGCAACTTATTTAAAAAGGTGCTGCTCTGTCAGAGTTCTCTTTTTTTTTTTCTTTTTTAAAATTTTTTTATTGTACTTCAGGTGAAGGTGGAGTTCTATTTCTTATTAAGGGGTACTATCATTTGCCTAGTTTCTTGAGCTTTAAGAACCTCTCCATCTCCATCACTTCTTATATCTAATTATCTACCAAGTTCTATTGATTCTACCTCCTAAATCCATTCAAATTATGCAATCAATTCTAAGGCAAGGTTTAATATGGTAAGAGAAGAATCTGAATAGGCTGTGGGGAGATAAGACTGAGAGATGCTTAGAGCAGACAACCCAATGTTTACAGAGCTCCTAGGGAACTGCCTTGCATGTAATTAATTCTTAATAAAGAGTTATTCATTTGTCTGAAAGTGTCACAGGCTTATGTTTGTTTGTTTGTTTTTTTTTTGGTTGTTGTTGTTCCAAGTTTTCCTTGACTGGAAATTACCTCTCCACACAGTCTGAGAGTCTGGAAGTTAAGTTAGATGCAGGAGCATCGTGTCCTCCAATGGCATAGAGCAAGCCATTCCACGTAGTTACTCCTACTCCACCTCTCCTTTTTGACATTTGTGCACAGAGTGTCCATTTATTGGTATGAGGATCAAAACATTCTACTGATTTGAGACAAGAACTTCCGTCACGACCACCAACTGCATAAAGTCTGTAAAAGGAACAAATGAAATGACAAGTAAGATACAGCATTTTTATTACGCTTAAGATAAAGAGGTTATACTTACTGTATTTCATCAAATCTAAGATGCCATCGATTATAAGACACTGTCAATTTATGTACCATTATGAAAGAAGATATGCTACCAATTAAATGACACGTGTATGTATCATGTATATATGCCTTGTTTTTCCAGGTGTCACAAGTTTTCTGCCTTTGAGAGGGTGCAGTCTTACCATTTTTCTATCACTCGTTTCAATGGAAAATATTTTAGCTTTCCTTCTCTGACAGGTCTCTGCCTTACATGGGATCTGGCTTTCACAAGTTTACATATATCTATATCTATATATCATGCCACATATCACTTTTGTATATACATTAAAAGGAAAACAAGCTGCATGTGAAGGCAATAACTATTTCAATTAGTGATGGCAATAACTAATTGCCATCTGTTTGATGGCAACTGTAAATCACCATTGATTTGTAAGATGCATCCCAATTTTAGAGATGTTAAAATATGTGTCTTACAATAGATAAAATATGATGTATAAATATACCATGACTTATTTTTTAAATATCTAAAATAGGATTTGGTTGTGAAGGAAAGAAACTAACCTCTGAGCACGTACTACAGGTTAGGCACTTTACATGTATTTTTTAATTTATTCATCACAACAATGCTATGAGAAACCAGTTGTATCCCTGTTTCACAGGTGAAGAAAATGGGGCTCAAGACATTAAAAGACTTGCACAAGGTCACCCAGTAAGAAGCAGAACCAGGACACGTAGTTATTTTAACGAGCAGTTGTAGTCAACAGTTATCTAGTATATATTTGTGATGGTGAAGTAGGGGACTAAAAGGATAGCTTGAATAATAGCATATAAATTAATATTTATTATATACAAGTAAAAAAACCAAACTCGTTGCCGTCGAGTCAATTCTGACTCATAGTGACCCTACCAAAAAGAGAACTGCCCCATAGGGTTTCCATGGAGCAGCTGGTGGATTTGAAGTGATCCTTAAATTACTAAAGAAAAGGATATTGTAAGTTATCTAAAATAAAGATGGTATGTTAACGACCTAAATTGGAGCTCTGGTGGCAAAGTGGCTAAACGCTCAGCTGCTAACCAAAAGATCAGCAGTTTGAACTCACCAGGCACTCCATGGGAGAAAGACGTGGCAGTCTGCTTCCATAAAGATTACTTCCTTCACCCTATGGGGCACTTCTACTGTGTCCTAGAAGGTCGCTATAAGTCGGAACTGACTCGATGGCAGTAAGTTCGTTTTTTTATTTGTATATAATAAATACTAATTTATATGTCACTGTTAATGGGTTTGCTTTGGTGGAATGATCTAAATGTTGCCTAGTAGATCAATTTTAATTCATCAATCAATATACTGCACTAATCAGAAATAGTCTTTTCCTTTAAACTTAAAATGTATGTAAAATATGTTATATATTTGAACACAATTTTTTTTTCTATTAAGCATAAAACCTTGTACTTAATATTTACTTGGGAAGCTCTTTATCAGTATTTTCTTGTTAGTATTTTTTTAAAAGTAAATTCAGTCCATTGCTTGTACAAAAGATCATACATTTTAAATTTATGAATGCCTTAGTTAATATTTAACTATTTTCTGATTTTCAAGAATATTTGAACAATACTAAATATCTACCCATTAAAACTCTAAATATTTACATATACTTTAAAGACAGATTTCATTGTTAATGCCACTCAAACTTGTTCTTAAATAGCAAGATGATCATATTTTAAACAGCAAGATATGACTGCAGCAATATCTTGCTCTAAACATAAACTATATTAATAGCACAGACATTGGAATTTATTATGCTGTAATACAATTATACACAAATTATGTATAGTAAAAATGCTGAGGATGGAATGGATAATGAGTGTAAGGGGAATGAAGAAAGAGGAGTGGGGACTGGAGAAGGTTTTCCATAGGTGATTTCTGAACAAGTTTCAAGGATGACTGAGTTTGTCAGGTAGGAAAGTGGGGGAAACAACATTTGAAGATAGATGGCATGAATATTAAAAGATACCAGACGTGTGAAACAAAATGTATTTTTCACAAATAGGTTAGTTTTGCTGGACTGTAATATGCTATAGGTAGAGGAGGGAAAAGAGTCTAGAGAGGTGGACAGAGGCAAGGTCATAAAAGAGGCTCAGATAAGCTGCTGAAAGTGTTAAGCAGGAAAGTCACATCGTCCTATTTGGAGAGAGCGGTCTCTCTAAAAAGGATAAAAAAGAGAGAATTAAGGTTAGAGGCAAGAATGTTTCAGGAGATAACCCTATAGACTGGGAAAGAGATGGCGCAGTGATGGTGGGAGTGGAAGATAGGATAGAACTGAAAGATATTTAGAAGTTAAAAATGGATATGCTTTGGGGATAAGATGTAGGAGGAGTTTATGATAAATCACAGATTTTTGAGAGAGCAGCAGAGTCCCATCAACTATAATAGAAATGTATGAGAAAGATTAAGTTTAGTTGTAGGGTATGTGAAGTTGAAGGAGTGTTATATTTGTTTCTAGTATGGGAGAAACTTGAATTCATAAGGTGAAGGGAAAAGAACTATGAAAAAGAAACAAGAAGAAAATATAAGAGGCAGAAGTAACATTGATAGGGCAAGCTACAAAGTTGGGGAAAACAGGTAAAAGAACAGAACTGGTCTTTGATGTGCCATCTCTTGACATGAGAGGAGGGGAATATGAGTGTGGAAATAGTTAACTTTATAAAGGATAATGGGGCTTAGAGGAAGGGAAATGTACATGACACTGAGTTTATCTGAGCCATGATTCATGATTTTTCTTTTTCCTGTAAGGAAGAGGCAAGATCCTCGACAGAAAGTAAGGAGGCAGAGAAGGATTAGAAGGTTTGAGGATAGTATCAAAATTTAAGAACAGCTCCTGAGGGTTTATGGGACAGACAGCAGACAGATTTGCAATTGTGGCTGTAGTATTTTTCTGGAAGGGCTCAGCCATTGGACATAGAATTCAGGGTTGCAAGTCTGCAGTTGAGTGGGATGGGGTTCTAAGTGAAAAGAAAATTAGGTTAGTAGGACAACAAGGTTAAAGAGTGGTGCAGAAGTTAAAAGCAGCAGCAGAAGTAATTCTAGGCTTTTAATACTACTGCTTTATGGTATTTCTAAAATGATATTCTTTACTTGATTTTATTCATTGCATAAAAACATTACAGCAACAAAAAACAAAAAAATTCACTTGAAATTCCACCTCTGAATAAATCAAGTGTCTTGGTATTCCACTGTAGCACTAACTTACATGAATATATATTTCCACAGTTATAATAAGTGTAGATATACTGTATTTTCAAAGCCAAATGTTTAAATATTTGTTAGAGATTCTTAGCTTATGATATAATTATTAGGCTATCAGAATTATATTCAATAAACTGTACTTTAAAAAAAAACAAAAAAATGTTGCCGTTGAGTGGATTCCAACTCATAGCGACCCTACAGGACAGAGCAGAACTGCCCCGTAGGGTTTCCAAGGAGCAGCTGGTGGATTCAAACTGCCGACCTTGTGGTTAGCAGCCAAGCTTTTAGCCACTGTGCCAGCAGGGCTCCAAATTGTACTTTAGGTAGGTTAAAGACTGAAATATTTCTCATTAGAAAGCAAGAAAAGATAAGAAAGTGAAGTATTTCTATACCAACAGGTCTAGGCTACCATAGGTCTAAAAGCATTAGAAAAGGCTGTAATTTTTTTATTTTATTTTATTGTATTTCAGGTGAAGGTTTACAGAACAAATAGTTTCTCATGGAACAGTAGTACACATATTGTTCTATGACATAGGTTAACAACCCCATGACATGCCAACCCTCTCCCTTTTCGACCTCTTTTTTTTTTTTTTTGGTGAAAATATACATAGCCAAAGATACACCATTTCAAAAATTTCTACATGCACAGTTCAGTGACATCGACTA